GCTGCCTCAGTATCCCCAGTTTTTTTCTTCCCTCTACCCAAAATATTTGCCCACAGCTCTTTAAAATCATTGTCCTGTTCATCCATTGGCCTGCAGGGTCCAGAAACACTGTGGCCTAACGACACTGTGAGGACTGGAAGGCAGGAGGAGATACCAGAATCAGTTCATCATCTGTGACCTGCTATCCTCACCAATTCCCCTCCACCATATCAGAAATGTCCATTCTCCAGACTTCAATGAGGTCAACAGAGTGGGCACTTCTGTGCTGTTCCGACAGCTCATTCTTCCACAGCTAATTCACAGCCATTTAGTAGAGCACATTTGCCATGGACCCCACCTGCTTTCACAAGTTAAGCACCCCAGTTTGTGCACAGCATGTGCAGAAGCTTCATGATGTGCTACAGTGCTTTAGAAAGACACTTAAAAAGCCCTTAAATAAAGAAATAAAAAAGGTGGTTATGTAGGATGGTATATGCAGATGCAGTGTGGGACAGGCTGGTGTAGAACTTTGAAGGAGGAAAGGATTTGCATAAAATAGTATGATTAGAAAAAGCACGTACTGACCCAAAACACCATCCCTATAATTGTACTACAGACATGCACAAGCTACATGAGGACAGAAGAGAAAGCTTTCAAAACAGGTATCTGATACTGGGTAGGCTTTTGTCCTGCAGCTCAGGATTTGAGACTGTCCCTTTTTTATATGCATTCATACTTACATTTATATAACACAAGACCAGCAAATGGAGCAGGGAGAAAAAAAAAAGTCCTTCACATCAAGCAGCTATTCTAGAATGTAAAATTCTGCTTTGCGGCACCACAGCTTTAAAGAGGAGAGCCCGACCTCATTTTGAGAAGCAAATAAAGGCAGTTTCTGGCATTCCAAAAGGGTTTCTGGGACAAGTCTGAGAACAATTCTACCAAATATGTTGATCCTTTCTCTCCTCTTATCTCCATGCCTGCTCACCTTCAGGATTAGCTCTCCTGCCAACTAATACTGAACTTGTCCTCCAAGTACTCAAACCATGGCACTGACCATATTTCACAAACTGCTGTCATATGCACAAGGTAAACAGACTAAACAAATGGTATTTTTAAACTAGTTTCTTAACCTTTTCAGCTACAGTAAGAACAGCAGGACTAGCTAGGGGTTACTTGGAACAGCACTGGGTACAATGTCCAGATGGAAATGCCATCAACCCCCAGGCGACATTAAAACTAGATCTCTATTCTTAGACATTTTGATTGTCTTCTTCTTCCTACTCCTAAGTTCAGTCTGGTTCTGGCTATTTTAACAGAGGTCTTATATTGCTCCCAAAACCTGTTTCTTTCAAGCCTAAACCAGAGTGTTTCACTTGGAATGGCAGCACCTGTGGTTCAGTTTCTCCAGTAAAACTCTGGGCACAGAAAGACTCAAAAAGCAGGAAAAACACATGCGAGATTGTTTTCTCAAATGGCTTGGCTGCACACATGCAAGGCTGAGGAATGCTGGTTACACACTTTCATGGGTCAGCCTTTCCTATAAGCAATTACAGATGTTAATGGATTTATTTATTTTAAACTCAAGCTCCCAAACCAGCAGAGGATTTTGCTGTGAATCTTGGAGTAATTTCCTGTTAGAGAGAAACTGAAGTTTTATGTAGCCAGTTCATAAATTTAATTTTCCTGGACAGAATCTTGGTGCAGTTATCACTGTAAATTTGCCATTTTTTTCTAAGTAGGAGACAGCATGTACAGAAAAACAGAATCTTACATCCTTCATGGCTTTAAATACCTCTCACAGATGCATTTGTGCTGGTGTATTATTTATGGTGAGTTCCTGATATTAAACTTTAAAACAGATCAGCACTTTTGCATTTGCAGTCGATGTTCAGGGCCCCAGGTAGACCAAGTCAGGCACACAAATGATACAAAACTAAGGATGTATCTGTCTTACTCCTCCCTTTCCAGACCTGTATTTACAGGCTCCTGCTCTGCTCAGCATATGTGTTTCTGATGCTGCTGCTACTGGTGTACCCAACAGCCAGCCTTGGCATCAGTTTGCAGAGCGTAAAAATTAAAGACTTGAAAAGTAGCTTCTTTCAGTAAAGTATCTGATTCAGTTTGGAAGATTTTAGGACTCAACAGATCATAAAGCTGGTCAAATAAAACAAGTATCTGATTCATTTTGGAAGATTTTAGGACTCAACAAATCACAAAGCTGGTCAAATAAAACAAACAGCACCACTTACCTATCAACTTAGATGTCAAATCTATAGCCCAGCTGTGCCCTTCAAGTAAACGTGGATCAGTGAAATGGTACAAAGTAGGACCAATTAGAATGAAAGATGGAACCTGGAAATGGAAGGAAAAGGCCAGGTTTAGAGTATTCTGTACTGACTGCTCTTTTTTGCTCAAGTTCCAGAGGGAAGAGAGACAGCTCTAATGGTGCTAAATTCTGCCACTTCCGTTGACCCATGTACCTGAACTATGCAAGTTCAGACACATTGCTCAGGATCTGCTCAGTCCTAGTGACCATCACTGCAGTCACTGCAGAGAAAGCCCAGAACCCTTCAGAAGGCAGAGCATGTCAGATAGACTAGATAGGGTTCCCCAGGACTTTGTCTGAGATCACAGCTGACCCCGATTTGAGCAGGACACTGGACTAGAGACCTCCCGAGTCACTTTCAGCCTGAGTTATCCTATCATCCTACAAACAGCCCATCCTTGTTTTTTCCACTGGGACTAACTTTGTTTTCTGGTAACTTTCTTTAAACCAGAACCACAGCAGTTAATTCCTACAGAAATCCATCAATGCTACTATCATAACCCTCTGGCCACACAATACCCTCAGCCACTTTAGGGCTCACAGGGATCTACTGAATTGAGTTCTCTGGTTTAGCTGAAAAAAATCCAGAGGGAAATATGGAGAAAGTATCCCTTTTCATCAGTCCTGTTTGCTTCCTTTGTACTTCATTGTCTGTCTTCTGTTGGGATAAGGAGGACAAAAGTTCTAAACCTCTTTAGACCACTCAGTATCTTATTAAATTGTATGTATCACATCGTCCAGTGTCTGTGTTCTGAAAGAGTTCCAGTCTTTTCTCAGCAGAATCCTTCCTGGCTCCTAACCATCTCCAGCAGTATTCCCAAATCCACTTCGCTCCATTGCTTTATCTGAGACGCATTGACTAGTACTGCAGACAGCAGACTGCTGATACTGCTGCTGAAGAAGTTTTGTATTGTTCGCATTCCCTCCTCATCGAGGCTCTCCAGAGCCTAACATCTTATTTGCTTTGTTTTGAAAGCATCCGCTTAGCTGAGCAAAGTTTTTACCTGAACAAAGACACCCAGGGCTCTTCCAGTGTCTGGTATCATTAAGGTGTTCCCTATGATTTATCTGTTTTCCCACCACCATGCTCTGCTTTACCGCCTTCCACGCTAAGTTCATGATCCATAATGCATGTTACCTGCAGGTTGGAGCCTGCTGGAACCACCTCTGATCTCAACAGAGCTGAAAAAGCTGCATCACTGCCCAGTGCGACCACCAGGCGTGTGCTGAGGTGCATTCAGAATGAACCCTTGGATGCTCTTTGCTACTTTTCAGCCAGTTTCCTCTCTCAGACCATTTACGATTCACAATACCATTAACCATTCTTTATCTCTTTCCACTTTTCAAAGGATTTCTGAGCAAGCTACATGAATTTATTATTTCCTGCTTTGTTGACAAATTCAAAGCACTTCATTAGACTATGGCGAGACACTCTACTGGAGAAAAAAGGCTATCATATTGGCAAGATGCTAACAGGTTAAAAATACATGAAGACAGATACCTACAAACAACTTTAAGATCATTTCAATCGGTTTAATAGGTACATATAAAAGACTTACTGCCTTGTAACTACTCAGTTCAACTGCAGAATCCTTCTTAAAAACAAAACAAACCCCAAACAGCAAAACCCAAACAGGTAAAACATCTGCTACCCTGCCACCTTTCTGAGCAGATTCTCTTTTAACAATGGAAAGCATATTTCTTTCAACAGTCCACAACTTGACTCTCTTCTGAGCTCTCAAATATACACCATCTGGGCCTGTTCACTTGCTGTTTTAAACTACTTGTTCCAGGAACAAGTCTCCTGCCACTTGAGCTTCCAAGAATGTGCCATCATTATGGCTAGAATGCTGTTGATCAATGCTATTTAGGCCTCAACAACTTGCACCCAGCAGATATCTTTTCTCCTCTTGACCCCCTCAGTGATGCCTCAGTACATACCATCCTCAATTGCTCATCTCTAAGGAAAGCCGGACTCTATACCTTCAAAAGAGGGAAATGACATGCTACCTTGGGAGCAATTTCCTGGGTTTCACAAGAAATGCCAGCACAAGTGGGATTATTTAACCCTAGAAAGCAAGGAAAAAAGTAACCTTTGTTTTCATACATACCATTTCCTTGTGGTGAAAGGACAAATTATCCCATCCTGCAGACAAATCCTCTCCCCCCCATCTCTTGGCTGGTGACATAGCCTAGCAGGCAGCTGCATTCCTGACTGGCTGTAGGAAGACCCAGTGTTGAGTCTGCAGCACTTGTCTCCCCCAGGCAGGAAACACAGAGCAAGGCCATGTTTGTGTGCTAGGCAGTGGGTTGCTGCAGGAAGGGTGGCACCTTTCTCATCAGGAGCAACTTTCTCCCGCTTCCTCCACCAGCAAGAACAACATAGGAGTGGTCTTGACAGTCCTGTAAGGCTGGCCAGAATGTAATGGGAAGTCAAAGAATGGGATCAAAGTGACTGACATCACCTTAGTCTTCAGAAATCAGTTAACTGTAATGGCCTGCATGAACTTGGACTGCTAATACCAGTGGTGACAGGGACATGATGATGGGATGCATGCTGCTGCGCTGGCACTGATAGTAATGCCCTCCTCTGTGTTCAAAGAAGTGCAAATAAATGTACACTGAGGACAGCAGTGCTTATTCTGTGAGGAGAGAGCAAATGTAAGTATGGAAAAAGGAATTCAAAGTCAGGTACCAGTTCTCATGTACCTGGTCCCTGACAGCCTTCCTGTGCCAGAAAAGGATGACAAAACCAGACATGGAAAATAGGAAATGACAAATTAACTCAAGTCTGTATAAGCAAGGAAATGATAACTGGAAAATCAGTATCAGATTCTAAGGAGCAATCTTAGCATTGACCAGTATCAATGTCTACCTGACATTACCCACTTCCATTACCTGATATCCCATCAGAGTACCATGCTCCCATTTGTTTCCCAGACTATTCTCCCCCTGCTAGTAACTTGTACATATGGCAAAGCATTTCATAACCAGTAAAAAATCTATCATATTCCAGGAATGAATTTTGTATCACTACTTACATGACAAAATGTCCCTTTCGAACACTGTAGAGAACAACCTTACTTCATAAAGCACTCCACTGAAAGAGAAAAGTCTTTACTTTCTACCTCCTCTGGAAAGATAAAGGGGAAGTGGATATAAAAATAAAAACTAACGGTTGCTCAGGTGCAAATGCTCATGGTTTGTATGCAAACACAGTAGCATACAGATCAGAAATATATGCAGCTGGTGTTTCAAAAATGGTTATTTGATTTGACTGAAAACAACAAGAAATTACTAATTTAAACAGAAAAATACAATTGACAATTAAGGACTGAATAAAAACATTTCAGAAGAGGCCAATAAGAAAACAATGCTTCTTAAAACATAACTTGGTTTTCAGAAAAAGAAATCAGACTAATAATAAAAACAAATATATAAAATAACAGCATGGTAAGGGAATGGGATAGCACTGACTATAAGCAATGGATTGTGTTAACACAAGAAGGAGGTAAAATTACCTAAGATTATTTATCTGGACAGAAAAGTTAAAGACTTTCCAAAAGATCTTTTGGTGTGCATCAAAACCAAAAAGGAAAACCTGCCAAGGCCACTAGATCATTACAAAACAAAGTGTAGAACTGTTAAAACTGAGAATACAAATATTCTTGCAATATCCACCCCACAATGTGCCTATTCTAACAGTGATCCAAAGCATACTGAAAAGCAGCTATTGAAGGTGTTTCCGTAAACAGATCATTTGCAAGTAGAAGTCACTGTGATTTTTCAAAAAGGACAATTAGGGAAGTAAACACTCATATTTCAGACTGAGATCAACACCAGACTGTGAAAGAAATGGCTTATATGGGAACTGATGAGTAAGAATGGATAGAAAAATTAATACTAATCAACACAGCTTTATGAAACCCAAGACCTCCTATGTTAAGCTAATATGTTTTTAATGAGACCTCTATGTGCTAACACAGGGGTAATCTTTTTGTAAACAGTTAAAGAAGTGTCAAAGGACAAAATGATTAATTAAAAGCATACAAAATCAATACAACACATTTAGAATTATTAAAACGTAGCTAGGTAAGTTTCAAATTGCAACTGCAAACAGCAGTTGATGCATTGACGGCATTATGTTTCTAGCAGCATCCCACAGGGATTAACTCTCTGCCTATCTTGTTTTTCTATTATTTAGACTTAAGAAATGAGTTGGAAGAGACATACACCATCACTGATCAAGCTGTCTGGTCAGGCAGAGGAGGAACTACTGAAGTTGATGACAGAGAGGCAGATTGATGCAAGCCACTTGGTAAACCACTGCAAATCTCAATATAAAGTCCTGCATTTTGGACAAGCTTACTTACAGGATAGGTAAATCTACCCTGGAAAACAACAACTACAAAGGAGTTTGGAGTCTGGACAGATGTTGAAACACTGGCAGACCCCTGTGGGAGTCTGTGGCCATACTGATACAAACGGGTCTGTATTTCTTGTAGTGGGTACACGTGAACACTATGGTGATATTCTTACAGTGCATCTAAGGCATGATTCCTTCCAAGGAATAAGCACTGCCCACAGCACACAGAGCCAGTGGCACATGGCTTAGGAACACAGCTGGTTCAGGCTGCCTTTTCAGTCGCCAGTATACAACCTCACCCAGCCACCATTCTTTCATACTGACCACAACATGACCTTGTCTCAGGTGTCCAACATCACTCTCATATGGATAATTCTGACCATGGCAAAATATTCTATCATTGTGTAGATCAAGAATAGAGTAATAAGCGTTATGGATGTTTGCAGCAAGAAAATCAACTGAGTAATTAATGAAGTGAATATAAAGAGAAGTAAGAACACTTCAATGTTATAGATCTAAGCCATCTCCTTTCCAAGAAATGTTATTCTAAAGGGCACATTCACTGTGTATCAGTTCTACTGATACTATTTTTTTTCCAAAAAGTGTATTGTCTGATTTGTGATTATCATCACAAACCCAAATGTAAGGTGAAATTTAACACAGCATCTTGATTTCCCCATGTTCTCTAAAATAGAAAGATGCTTGCATTGGAAAGGTGACCAAACTCATGGATTTCTAAAGCTAAACTAATAACATATCTTTTACACTAATGTTTCATTAATTTATAACAATTAATAACTTGTTGTCAGCTAAAATTATACAAGAGCTACAATAAAATACCCAACATGCTATTTTGTGCACATGCTGCTTCATGATATTTCCATGCTGTCATATCTGTTCTCCATACTCCAGCACCCACCATAAGCACACTTTGTTCAACTATTCTGAAAATACATTTGTACATTCTTTCCTATTAAAACATCTTTTATTACCTTAGTTCCTTCACCTTCTCAATATCCAAATATATTGTTACCTAGAAGACTGATCTGAGTGTTCTGGGAAACTCTGGTATCAACCAACGACCTCAGGGATGTGCAGATGTGTATCATCCATGGACTGCTATGATAACAGCTAGAGGTCAGCTCTCAGGCAATGATGTCAATCTCTTTGTGTTCAATTTTCAGAGAAAACTCTGGGCAAAAGCCTGGCCTACAACTGAGAACCCCAAAGCACAGTTGGAGTTTCATGAGCGTACAACAATGTGTCAAACATCCCATCTAAGTTGCTGTTTTCTATCATTTGACAGGTTCTTTTTCTGCAGAAAAAAAGTGTAATAAAAACTGACCCAGTGGGAAAAGCAAATGCTCAAAAGAACTTGAGGTCCATTTTCTTCCAAATATAAAGGCCATGGTAAATTTTTTTCCTGTTTCTGCCTCTGACACATGCGCATAGTGTAAAGCAACAAAATGACTTCTGCCTCTTTTGAAAACTATTTTAATCCAAGCAGCAAAAACAAAGGGGAGAGCAGGGAGATGAACAAGAGGATTCTAGGCAGATACGAAAGCCAGCCACCCAAGGGTCTCTTTTTCTCATCAAAACAGGGGCTTTACCTGGACGGTGATTTTTTTGAGAGTTTATACAGAAACCAACAGACTGAGCACCAGTCAACATTTCTGCCTTTGGGCTCTACTAGAGTCAAACTATTAGGTACAAATTAACATATGTTCTTGCCCAGCAAATGTGTAATTTTGGCTTTATTTTAAACCATCATGGTTCTTTTGAGAAGCACCTGTGTATCTGCAGGACCAGGGACAAAGTGTTGTCAGTAAACCAGGCTGCACCATCTGTTTCCCCTCAAGGCAGAGGATTCCCCACACGCTGATCCTCGGGCCCTCAAGCCTGGAAGAGAATGACAAAATTCCATGTTGCTTCATGAAACAGCTGACAAGACTCCTCATAGCATCACAGAATGGTCAGGGTTGGAAGGGATCCTCAGAATGGTTTTCCTTTGTCACACTGTGGAAGTAAGTTTGCTTCAAGACTGGATCATAGAATCATATAACCATAGAATGGTTTGGGTTGGAAGGGACCTTAGACTCATCCAGTTCCAACCTCCTGCCATGGGCAGGGACACCTTCCACTAGAGCAGGCTGCTCCAAACCCCATCCAGCCTGGCCTTGAACACTGCCAGGAATGGGGCAGCCATAGCTTCTTTGGGCAACCTGTACCAAGTTGTTAATGAACCTTCCCAGCAGTCAATGCTTGCTAAACTCTTGACACCGTCGCAATCAGCCCTTCTATTGAAGAGCGTTGCCTCTGTCACTGAGGTTTTGCTTTTGATGCCATGCTAACATCAATGCTGCGCTTCACCCTACCGAGGAGCCGCACCGGAGCAATGAGCCACCCATCCAAACCCAACCGGAGCACCCCGAAACGCGCTGGTAGCGCCCCGCGGCTTCTGCTGCCGGCGGTACCTGACGGGCCCTTGTGGGCTCACTCCGGGGCTGACCTCGGGCTGCACACCCGGCAGTGCTGATGCTTGTGGCGGCCACAACACCCGCCCAGCACGGGGAAGCGACTCCCGCTTCTCAACGGGTACCGCCAACCCCACGACTCAACACCACCGACTCGCCGCCGGTAGGTGGCGCGGCGCGGCGCTGTTGGCGCCAACGTAATGACGTCACGCCGCCCGCCCGTAGCTCACCCGCACCGCTGAGAGGACTGCCCCGCACGCCTGCCCGCCCACGGCCGCCGTCGCCACGTCCCACCGCAGACTTCTCCGCCGCGGCACGAGCTCCCGCCGCTCCTCGCGCCCCGCCGCCACGGCGGGGAGTCCCGGTGCTGAGCCGCAGCGCATGCGCGGGGCACCAACTGCCGTTCCTGTCCCGTAACGGGCGCGGCGCGCATGCGGGAGGCGCTCGTTAGGGGCCCGCCGCAGCTGTAGCTCATGCGCACAAGCGAGGACCGCACCCTCCTTGCGCAGGCGCACGGACTCCCTCCCGCTGGTTGCCATAGTGATTCGCCGGCCCTTCGCGGTCCCTGTTGGCGTTGCCTCTCGGCGAGGCCGGGCGAATCCGCTCGTCCTGTTGGGGGGGAACCGGGCGCCCCCCGCCCTCAGAAGGGCCGGAGCCTCCCCCTGGGCAGGCAGCGGCACTGGACGGTGCCTCCTGAGGCGGACGCTGCCTGAGACTGGCGGGTAGGCGGCCAGCGGGGGCTGCCGTGCTCCAGGGTGGCGGCGGCGGGCCTGGCCCCCTCCCGCCCGTCAGGGCCGCGGCCGAGCCTGAGGGTTAGAAAGTGCTGAGGCGTTTGGTGAGGGCCCCGGCTTTGCTGCAACCGGCTCTGGGAAAAGTAACTCCGAAAGAGGAAAGCACAGCAGAGCACTTCCTGTTAATGTGTTAAAGAAGTCTGAGCTCTCGAAATACTCGTATGCAGCAAAATAAAAAGTGTAAATAGGGAAACACCCCCTGTATGACCATAGTCATACACAGAATGGTTTGGGTTGGAAGGGACCTTAAAAACTACTCTAGTTCCAGTCCCCCTGTACTATCACTGCATGTCCATGTAAGCAGTACCTAAGCTTCTTGTAGCTCCAACGGGTCCATGTCCTTATGCTGGGGGCCCCAGAGCTGGATGTGGGACTGCAGGGGAGGTGTCACAAGTGTGAAGTAGAGGGGGGGAATCCCCTCGCTCGACCTGCTGGTCATGCTTCTTTAAAGTCACTCGTTTTCACGTCTAAAAGCTGAGGTCCATGTCTGCAGGACGTGGAGCTGCAGCGAGGCCATGATAATTGTAATACTCTCCTGCTCATACAGATATTAATGGAATTGTTGAAATTCCAAGGCAAGCAGTTACATGGCTCAAGCTTTTGCCAAGCTTACCTGTTGACACAGCGTTGCCTTTTTATTTTGTACTTCTTACTACGTGGGGTTGAACAGGAAGATGGATGCCATTTTTTTCCACTACATTCCATTCAGGTTTAGAGACCTCATTCTGAGTAGTAACTGATTTAGGATCAAAGATTATTTAATCCAAGTTAATAGCTAATTGTGGCCAAAGGTCTGCAGGTATAAAACAACCTCAGATACAGTGGGAGGAGGTGGGAATTCAGACACTGGATTTGCGTTTTGAACACGTTTTGTGTTAAAATCAGGATTTCTTTCTCAGCGCTTGGTATGGATGCAGCAAGAACACAAATCAGTCCTGGAGAACACTTGTTAATAGGCCAAGAAGCAGAGGGAAGAGGTCCAGCAGCTCACATAACACACCCAGGCTGACGTTCCTCTACTAATTGTGAGCAATATGATGGATCCTTTACATATAACATTTATTTTTCCGTAATTATATCTTGATCTGTAATTTGGCATCACCAAATTAAAGGGACATTCCCATAGTACTGCCTGTTTGAAAAGCTTAGCTTATAGAAGAAAATTAACTACAACTTTTGAAATGGAACAAGCTCCTGCAGCACCAAGCATTTTCGCTTCTAGGAAAGCAATTTAGTTTTTAACCCATGCTAAATTAAAACAATTTTAGCTGAAAACCTTTGAATTTTAAGCATAGAATTGGTTATTTTGGCACAACTGAGGGGTCTGTTTTCTGCAGTGAATCATCCCCAGGAGATGGAATGGACGTATGTCAGTATGAGAACCAAAAACTGATATGAAGAAATCCTTTGGTTTGTGTCTTTCAACACTTCTGCTAGTTTATTCAAGTTGTTTCTGAAATTGCTACACTTATGGGAATAAGCACTCTGAAGAACACCCTGCAAGAACTTGCAAGCGCACATTGCACATTTCATGTACTGAAAAATACTCCAGTCAGATGTACTGAGGCACCGCATCGGTTCCACGAGAACAACTATTACAAGTGGTAGTTAGTGAGAGCAGTCCTGCAGGGAAGGACTTGGGGGTGTTTGATTGTTGAGAAGCTCAACATGAGCCAGCAACGTGCACTTGTAGCCCAGAAAGCCAACAGTATACTGGGCTGCATCAAAAGAAGTATGGCCAGCAGGCCAAGGGGGGTGGATTTTCCCCCTCCACTCTCATGAGACTATACCTGGAGTTCTGTGTACAGCTCTGGAGCACCCAACACAAGAGTCATGTGGAGCTGTTGGAGTGAGTCCAGAGGAGGCCATGGAGATGCTCAGAGGGCTGGAGCAGCTGTGCTCTGGAGACAGACTGAGAGAGCTGGGCTTGTTCAGCTTGAACAAGAGAAGGCTCTGGGGAGACTTTAGAGCAGCTTCCAGTTCCTAAAGAGGCCAACAAGAAAGCTGGAGAGAGGCTCTTGACAAGGGCATGTACTGACAGGACAAGGGGGAATGGCTTTAAACAGAGGGGAGATTTAGATGAGATATAAGGAAGAAGTTCTTTATTGTGAGTGTGATGAGGCACTGGCACAGGTTGCCCAGAGAAGCTGTGGCTGCCACATCCCTGGCAGTGTTCAAGGCCAGGTTGGATGGGACTTGGAGCAACCTGGTCTAGTGGAAGGTGTCCCAGCCCATGGCAGGGGGGTGGAACTAGATGAGCTATAAGGTCCCTTCCAAACCAAACTGTTCTATGGTCCTAAGTCACAGTAACATTTTGTTGCACAACACCCTAAATGCAAAACTGAATTTAACAGCACCAAGTATTTATCAGAATAGGCGGGAGGACTCAGAGAACACCTCCACAAGGCACCAGAGACCTGCTGACCCCATCACACACCTGCAGTTGGGGAAACTTCCCCTCAGTGTTCAAAGTGATGCTGCACACGGCTGACACGTGTCTTCAGCCACACCAGCCTCCACATCACTGCTGCCTCCAGCAATTCTGCTGCATTTCACTTAGTCAAATGCATTTTTCTAACCCAAAAGTGCTGAGATACCAGAGAAAAGGGCTCCTGAGAAACGTGAAACACATTAACACACACAAGCATCTGCTTTTTCACCACTTGAATCCTTGAGAGCTTACTGTGCTCCACATGGGAAGCACAAACAACCTGAGCCTTGATCATGTAAACACAGCCTTTTAAAAGTGTGCACTGGAAAGAGCCAAAGGAATCATGTTATTTCTAATCTGGATGGGTCTGGGAGCACCAATATTTAGCAGTACATACTGGCTATCATGCAGGGATCTACCTCACAGGGTGTTTCAAGGCTTCCAACTATTCCTAAAGGCAACAAGGACACGGCTGCCACTGCAGGGTGTATTTGCTATTTGTACCCAACATCAGCTCAAATACGCAGCCACAATTATGGATATAGAGAGGAGAAGCAGCTCTCCCAAAATCAAGCAGCTCATCAGAGGCAGACTGATTCTCCATGCAGACCTACTGGACTTCTGCTAGCTATTTTTTAACAACTCACTTTTTCTCCCCTGCAGGGAACTGCTCTCTGTTAGATCTGGCATGGGGCCACAATGCTTTAGACTCCAGAATAAAAAATCCGGGCTTAATTTAATGCATATTAGTGGTACTTTCCCATGAATTACAACTGTATAGATGCTGGCAGGTCCCTAAAATATCAACACTTTGGATACACGTGAGAGACAGGATATTTACTATCACACGGTTTTGAGCTGTCTCTGCAGAAAACAGTGATTATGGAAACTTGTGGACACTATTGCCAATACTAAAAAGGTTTTAAAATAACTGTGTTTGAATTCACTGTGCAAAGGTATTTATAATAAATATGTAAAGATGTTTAACTACAGATCTATGAATGCACACATTACGTGTTACATACACATATACATATTTATCCCCAGTGTGCTGGAGTCAGCAGTTCTCAAAATGTGAGTTTTACCTTGTTATCTCTGCTCAGTCTGATGGGCAGATCCACTGGTCTGGGTCAGCACTTGGTAATGATGGTAATGCACTTTTAATGCTGGTGGCTCTTCAGCAGCTCCAGATTAACTTTTTAAAGCTTTTCATACAAACTGATTCAATCCAGGCCAGCAGTGCTCAGAGAAGCAGCCCTGGAGGCCAATTCCAGTGAGTAAAGTTTAGGGTTTGCATTAATTTGTTCTGTTAATCTGCCCTTGTCGTGGTCTTTCCCCATGCTGGATGACAAGAGATCAGCACAACACTCAGTGCATTGAGTCTCTTGAAAGGGGAAAATAAGCAACAATACAGCATTCTCCTCAAGAGCAGGTTTGTTTCATTTTCCTCTAAAGTGTAAATTTTGGGATGGTGCATACCATTATCTCCACCTCCACTTGTAAGCCTGTCAGGAAAACGTGCACGTTTCCATTCAGGAGGTCACACAGCATGGGTTGGAGTGTGCACATCACATTATCTTGTTATAAACCAAAACTTGTCTTGTTCTCCTGGGAAGTGAAATGAATTATAATTTCCAATAAGAATCACCATAATTAAGTAAAGGCCACTAAAATGAAGGTCACTAAACATGCTAAGAATCTCTAAGAACATTAAAAATACAGTGCCCAACTAAAATTCATATCCTTGGATTTCTTGAAGCACACTGCAAGATAACTTGGAACGCTACTCTACTCGAGACAGAACAAGTCCATGACTGAAATACATGAATGAAGCAAACCTCAGGTTCCATCTCCCTTCACCTCGTGTCACAGCTCCAAGTTCCCGAGTTTGTAAGGATTTAATTTAGGACAGTTCCATGTAGGATTAACTTACTGATTTACTTCCAGATCAGGTTTTAACCCCAATTACCCCTCATTTACTTGGGCTGCAAAAGGAGAGCTATCTTTGCTTGGCATCACATCTTTGTTTCTTTGTTAACTGTTATTACTTAACCCCAAATTCTGTGCAGATCATATCTTGACATTGGGAATAAAGTTAGACAGATATGTTTAATGGACAATTCATTACAATACCTTTTGCCGTATTGATTTAAAAAGAGGGGGAAACTCTTCTTTCACCATTTTTTCATCCTTCCTG